ATGGGTCGACTGAATTATGGGGACCAGTGGAAGTCAAAATCCTGTGGTAGGTGAAAAAGCCAAATGACAAAGATAATGAGTGGTGAACATGTGAGGAATCATCCAAATGCCTGCCTGGAGGATCTCATCTGATAGCTGGCAAAAATGGGATGCAGGAGACTGAGAAAAGTGGTGAACTGGATGCAAATAAATGAGAAAGGAACACCACTGAAGGTGTCTGGTTGAAGAAAGGAAGCATGATGAAGACCATGTACACAAGAAGGATGAAAGTGTACAGTAAAGAGGAATGCAGCTAGAACCAATGAGCCCTAAATCAGGGGGACTATTGGAAGGAAAGACAGAGCAGAAAAAGTGGAACAGGCTAAGCTGACAGAGAGAAGGGAATGAACCTCTACAGAAAACCTCTCTAGAACACAATGAAGTGGTGAGAAAAAAAACAATAAAGACATGAAAATGGGGAGCCAGAGAGTGAAACAGAATGCAATGAACTCAATCCCTAAGCAAACCAAATACATACCAAAGACAAGGAATCATGAAAGGAAAGGAAAAATGTCTGAAAGTCACAAACAAAAGGGGAACGAAGCATTTGGGTGTAAATGAGGAATTATTAGAGAAGGGAAACAGCATAAATCCCAATAAAAAGCCATCCCAAGAACCGGGTTCATGGAGTGAAGAATGAGAAATATTGAAGGACACAGGCAAAAAGAACAGAAAATACCTCAGAATGAAATCCAGAAAAGATCAGAAGGTTAAGGTATTCTCAAATGGTTAGGTATTACCTAAAATAAATCAGATTATATTTCTATTCCAAAAAGCCTTTCATGACTGAGAAACAAGTCAATTGAAGGAACTGAAAAAAAAATCCTAGTGAACATGTGTTAATCCACAATACATTTAGTAATAGATGCAACATCCCCAACAGTCAATGATCCTCCAGAAGCCATAGTAGAAAAAGGGCCTATATGTGTTACATTGTCACTCACACTGTTATTTCAGAATTCACAATAATAATCAACACTTTTGAAACAAAAGCCAATGTAAAACAAAAACCACAGTTTTATTAACAAACTCAAATCTCATCAAACTGAATTTAAATGAGAAACATGAATACATCTGTTCAATGTAATACTGAGGAAAATAATGATATTAAAACTGCAAATGCATGGGAGGAATTGCTGCACAAGGAAGTCATATTACTCTCCCACTGCAGTTCATGCTAAACATGTGAAGTTGGTGGCATGCAAAAACATGAAGGAAATAGTATTTCTACATTCAGAGATGAGTTATCATCTCAGAAACAACTTTTTACTTCACTATAATGTTTTTGTTTTACATTCTTTCTGTACTATATAATTTTATGTATGAGTATATGTTAAGCAGTGCCACTAAAACTTATATATATTTTCCTTTTGCATATGCCTGGTGTAATGTTTTAATTAAATTGTTTATGAGATAATTTATTCTATTTGATATTTTGGTTTTGTTTGTTAAAGTTGAAACAGTAGTGTTTGATTTTCATGGCCTTTTTGATCTTGAATTACTTAAATAGAACTTATATTTCTCAAATAAATTTGTTTGCATACTTATTTTGTATTATTTATTCAACAACAAAAGTTAAAGTTCTGATCTACTAAGCAGTTACTTTTGAACAGTAACAGCCAAAACTTTTGGTGAAACAAATATGAACTTTGACTACTATCATCATAATGTAGAAATAATCTAGAATATATTTCATTAAATAAAATGCAAGTTTTTCACATGAATTTACAATATTCCATGATTCTATTACAATGTAAACATAGCAGTCAAAAATATGATTTATCATAAACGTATATAAGCCACCATTTTAGTAACCCTCCTTAGAACCCTTTCCAAAAATTCAATGTCCTTCCAAAGGTAAGGAACTCAAGACAGAAAATAATATTCCAAACCAGTGACCTACACAATGAAATTTTAACTTCTTTAGACTTGTTTTCGATATTACTGCAGATACAACCTAAAATCCTATTTGCCCTACCACTAGCAACAGCATACTGCTTGGATAGCTTAAGAGACTGATCAACCATTGCACCAATATCCCTTTCTTTCATGACACTGTTAAGGTTATTCCCATCCAAATAATACTTAAAGTTTAAATTACAATAACCTGCATGCATTATCTTGCATTTATTACAATTTAAAACCCATCTACCATTTACTTCCCTAACTCACTAAATGATCTAAATTCTTATGTAAAGCTTTAGTGCCTGACAAAGGGCATCTGCTCAAAATGTCACACAAAATAAACTATAAAAAAATTTCATTCAGACATATCAACTTACATTTTAGTTGCTAGCCTAGCATGAACAACATTGTGTTGTCCCACACCAGAAAAAGTGGAAACGACTGAAAATTGTGAATTAATAATGTAGAAATAAAAGACTAGCATTTAATATTTCCACAACAGTTAATATTTCTGTAGATGCTTCTGCAAGAAAATACTTATATTTGCAAATCATATAAACAAAAAAATCAAGTCTTTACACAGAATAATCAATATAGAGGGAGTCAGCTGCACTAGGAGAGTATGTCTCATTCCTTTTGGTGGAGGCTTGTGATATCTTTATTTGCATACAACAATGCAGCAATATCATGTAGAAACACATGAATTTAGATAGAAGCCTCAATGCTGATGATGAACAAAAAGTTCTTGTATAGAGGACAGCACTGAATCAGGAAAGCTATTGCGAGAAGATGTTAGGTGTTGTATTGTAAGTCATATTTATCATGCATATTATAATGATCTTTAGGAAACTTTTTCCATTATAATTAAAGAGGTCTATTAAAGTCCACATTATGTAAAGTAAATTGACATACATAAACTGTAAAAAGAACAATAAAAAAATTGGTTTCTCATATACATGACATACAAAAATGTAAAAATGCTTTTATTGGCTCATGTTTTAAAGATTACCGTTCGTATTTTTAAATGCCCATTCCCAAACTGCACTTTTCTACATAATGCATTAAAAGTTCAAGCTCTAAGACAAGACACATTAGTTACAAGCTGAGCTTTAAATATTTTTAACTTTCTTTTACATTAAGAGTTTTTTAACTAATTCAAATTGAAAAGCTACACAACATTATTTTATAACTTATGTACCGGGCTTAATGCTGATATCATTTGATGGAGATAGGTCTTCCTTTGATATGGAAACTGCATTTGTCAATAGATCTCACATTAAAATCTTAATGTAATTTACTGTAGCATGACCGAGTTGAAGAGTAACCAAATGTTATTTCATTTGTGGATATTTAATTTGATAAATTAATGTTTAAAATGTAACACAAAATTTATTTTGAAGCAAAGAATCTTTTGTTTAGTGGGCATGAAAAAACTCATGCTAATGCTTTCACACATGAGTATATTGATATTTAGCTACTTATGAAGAAAACTTAAAAGTATTTAGAAGACCAAGGAAAATGTTCATAATGTTTCTTGTAGAAGTACACTGCATCCTGTGGGTGTGTGAACATAATATTACAGATAAAGTATGTTTATTCAGATCATAAAGTCATAACAAACTAATATGTATTTAAATAAATATAATATAAAACATACCATCTAGTGGGTTAACTACATCTTCTGTTTTAAAATCCCAGGTTTTTTTACAATCTTCTTCCCAAGTGCATTCTTCAGTAGAATAATAAAAAAATGCTATAGCAGATCATTTTTTAATTCAATAACAAAAAAGTAGATATAAATTAAAATGGTAAAATGTGCTTGCAGAAAAGTATCTATTCAACTAGTTTTATGGTATAAAAAATAGTACATAAAATTCAAAAAACTACTTTACTTGAAATCAAATAAAATAATCTTATATTTGACAAAGGTTTACAACACTACTACTTTCAGGAAGATAGGAATGATAATCGTCATACGTAGTATGTGCTTTTTTCATAGAAAAGCTGTGGCAGCCTTCTGAAGCTTAGTTAAATCACCCCATCCTGAAATGGCATATAGATGCTGGTGATGAAATCCAATTTCAATGGCACAAGTGGGTGACAATGATAAGTCATTACTCTTGAATGGGATGCTAGTACATTGCAGGTCAACCCTCAACTACCTGCTGTTACACAGTAAATAGACTAAAACAACTGAGGTAAATCGTCTTTGTCTAGATCATATCATGGACAAACAAGCCCCAAACTCGCAATCTTCCATCTATGATTCCAACACACTAGCCACTAGAACCTTCCTTTCACACCCTTCTGAAGAGGAGAGTGACTAATTTTATGATTCATACATTGACTAGAACATTTAAAATTGTTCACTTGTTGATGGTTTTCCAGTATATAAAGAACTGCTCAATTATATTCGGTGTTCAGCTGCCAGATGCTACAAATTTTCCATGACAACAGTATCCAAATCTTTGAAGAAGAATTCCAGATTATTTACAGTATCTGAGGCAATAACTACCATGACTTCAAGAAACAATGAAAAGTAAAAACTGGCCATTTCTCTAGTACCTGCAGCACAAATTTTTCAAACAATCAAAAATCTTCAATGAATACATAGAATTTCTTTTATATATTAGTTTTAACTAGTTTGTTGGCATTTTTCTTGGTTTGTTTACACAGTTTTATTTGCATATTAGCAAGTAGTCTTAAGACTGGTTATTTGCCACTATATAACAGTTTTTGTAATGTTTTTCACATGGTAAGCCAGAAGATAGTCAAATCTTAAGACCTGTTAAAATAATTTGCCAACTGGAACACAATCTGAAGGCAATTGTATATTACAAACCTGTCCACTTCATATTTATGTTGATGAGTCAAAAATGATTGGTGTCCACAAAAGTTTTCTAGTGGTAGATGTATTCCCTTCGATTTACTACTTTTCATACTCTACCAACAGCCAATCAAAGTAGCAGTTTATTTAACAAAGCTTATGCTACTCAGGTACTCTCTACTTTGTCTTCTTAACAGTCAAATATCCTTGTTCTCATCCATTTTCTTGTATACTAATCATGATATGACTATACACATGTATAGTTCAAGAAATCACCAAACACATCAAATGATCAGCACATTTGCAATCGGATAATTCATGAATTCTGCTACAAATATGTAAAAAATAACTTTACAAATGTTAATCACAGTTTGAAAACAATATGTTTCATATAATATGCAGCTCTTCCATCATCAGCTTTATTCAGTATGATGATAATGATTGTGGCCACATTCAACAGCAATGACTAAATATGAATAAAACCCTGGAGTAGAAATAAGAAAGGAGTATCAGAGTTGAATAATAACTATGGGTATGGGAGTTGAGACAGAGGAATAGGTGACAAAGGAGTTATCTTTCAAACTATAACATCTAGAGATAGTAACCAATGGGATAAATAAAGTGAGACATATTAAAAGTGAACACTTACGTGTCTTAACACTAATCCTGAGAGCACACAATGAAGCATACAAACAAACAAAAACTTGAATATACATTCCAAAATGATCAAAACCAAGTGAATACAACATTCTTGACAGCATGTTCAAGAAAACTGAATTTGTTATAAAAATATCATAAAAACATCTAAATAGATCAAATCATTTAAATTAAATTAATAGTTTTTTGAAGAAAAATTAAGTCTTAACCTAATGAGATATCAATGAGAAGTTAACGTATCATAAAACACATTTTACTAACTAAAAATACAATTCAATACTGTGTAAAACACACAATTTTCAAGTATATATTGTATTAAACTTGTCAGAAGGTGAACAGATCTTTTTAAAATTATTGTATTATGTGTAATAAAAAATACCCAGTAAATAAAACCTAATAATAATAGTAAAAAATACAACTGATGATGAAAGAAAATTTTACAACTAGTTACAGTAAAACGTCTTACAGAATATCATTTTTACAAAAATACTGACCATAAACATATCAAAACATGAAAATGAAAATATTTACATCTATGCTGTTTTTTAAATAACAACAATAAGATCTTAAGAATCTAAATTTAATAATAATAATTTGTTTATTTATGCTCACTGTGGGTATCCAACCCCAATTTTTATCATTATAAGTTTCCCTCAAGCTTAAAACTGTGCCACTAGGAAAAAATAATAGTAAACAGATCAAGGAACAAAATAAAGTAAAAAAATATGTCTGTCAGCTAACACGTTACCAAAAGAAAAGGATGTTACAAATTCTAATAAAACAAAATTCACAGTACACATGTATAAGTCAAGATTAGCACATATTGTATTAAATTATCAATAACAATACTTGATATTTACAGAAAATATCAAAGTAAAGTAAGGTTTTTTGATACTGTAAGTCACAAAATGCATTCTTATAAAGTTCATAAAAATCAAAATAGCCATGGAACAGCATAAATAATTCCAAACACAAACATCATAGAAACTCAAAAACTAATTGAAGTTACAAAAAACAAAAACTTAGTGCATTATAAAACAGTCATACAAAAGAAAATTAATAATGAAGTAAAAGTAAAAATGCAAAAAAGATACAAAACAGTGAAACATATTTAAATTAAGAATGATACCCCACAGAATGGCATTCATCATAAGTAATGCCTTACTAAAAAGTGCATTTTATATACATAGACTTCTTAATGGTGGAGAGAAATCTACTACAAATCATGAATGCACTAAATAAACTTTAACAGACTAAAACTTCTTTAATATTAATTTCCTAAACTTCCTGATTTAGAATTTTAAAAAATCTGATAAAACTCCAGTATGAAATTAAGGACCATGAGATTACCATCTTGATTACAAATACAAAAATCCAATGTGTTTTTATATTATTATATAAACTTCCATTATATTAA